TCTTTTAAATTATCAATAATTTACTATTAAATTATCAATGATTTACTATATATTGTTATCTATTTGCTATTATGGTATCATTAATTTACTATTGAGTTTTAGTGATTAACTAATAAATTATCATTGATTTATTGCTAAGTTATTTATGATTTACTACTAAGTTTATAATTTAATTACTATTAAACTAAAACAAATTTACTGTTAAGTTATCTGTAATTTACTACTAAAATTTTATTAATTTACTATTAAATTATCAATGATTAACTATTAAGTTATCATTTATTTTTTATTAAGTTATTATTAATTACTACTATGCTATTATGCATTTATAGTTATGTTATAATTGATTTACTATTAAGTTATTATGCATTTACTATTAAATTATTATTGATTTACTACTAAGTTATCAATTATTAATTATTAAATTATTATTAATATACTATTAAGTTATCACTAATTTACTATATTAAATTATCATTGATTAACTATTAATTTATCAATGATTACTATTAAGTTATATTGATTTACTTTTAATTTTCAATTATTAATTACTACTAAGTTCTAAATTATTTACTATTAATTATTATTAGTTTATTATTAAGTTATTTATGATTTATCGCTAAATTTATCAATTAATTACTACTCCCTCTATTTGTCATAGTTAAATTGTCATAGTTGACTTTTTTTCGTTAAAATTTTTTAAATTTGACATATATTATTTTAAATATTTTAATAAATCAAAATTTATAAAACATGTATTTAGAAACCACTTCATTTAAAGTTTTTAAAATATATTTTTTTTCATATTTTTATCAATAATAAAATAAAATAATAAGTGATTAAAGTTAAAAAAATTGACCAACAAAGTAAAAATGTGACAATTTTACTAAGATAGAGAAAGTATTAAACTGAATCTTATTTGTTATTAAATTATTATTAATTTACTACTAAGTTATCATTAATTTACTATTAAGTTATCACTTATTTTTATTTAATTTATCCTTAATTAACTACTATCTTGTTATGTATTTACAATTATCTATAAATGATTTATTATTAAATTATTTGTTATTTACGACTATATTATTATGTATTTATTATTATGTTATCACTAGCATATAACTATTTTATCAATTATTTACTACTAAATTATTATTTATTTACTATTAAGCTATCCTTAATTTAATATACAGTTATCATTGATTTAATATAAAGTTATTATTGATTTTGTCTTAATTATCACTAATTTACTATAAATTTATCAATAATTTGCTACTATATGACTTTTTCTGTCTTTATTTGTTTATCTTGTATTGATTTTCACGAAGTTTAAGAAAAAAATTTTGATTTTAATGTATTTAATATTAAAATTAGTTTTTTTTTATAAAATTAAAGTTTTATAATTTTTAATGTTAAAAGGTAAAAAAATGATAAAAAATAATTTTAAATATAAAAAAGTAAGAGTTTTAGATGTTTAAAACAAAAAATAAGACTTAATTTTAGGACATCCCAAAAAGAATAGACTTAATGAGGGAATACTATACATTTACTACTATGTTATAATTTATTTACCATTAAATCTTTTATAATTAATTTACTTGTGCAAAACATATTAATAGGTGAAATGTGTTACAAACACTAAAATATTCATATGTAGAAAAACTATTTTAATAAAAAAATAAAAAATAGATAATATTTTAATTTGCTAAAAAATATTAAATAAAAATAAGTAGAGATAATTTAATAAATTATCATATTTTATATGTAATATAGATATATATTAGACATCTTCTTAATTATAAAATCTCCTATTTAAAGTAGGTTATAAAATATAAAGTATGCACATATTTATCAGTATTCTAAATTTTTAGTTAAAATTTAAATAACTATTTATAATAAAATTTGCTAAATTTCAAATGAAGCACTTTTTACATATTAATTGAAAAAAAAAATCAAAGCTCACGTTATCATCTATTAATCTAATACATTTTTATTTTTTTATCATTTTCATATATATTATGATACATTGACTCATTGAATAATAAAAAGCCTAATTTAGTAATCTTAGGATCTATATGAAATATTAATTAATTCATTTATCTTATTTTTGTATATGTATAATTTAATTTTATCAATTGAGTTAATTTTTTATTTTAATTGTAAGATATATAAATAAATATATTTTATTTTGCATCCTCATATTTCAAATTTTTTATCATGCGATTAATGAGTTCAATTATAAGTCTATTTTCTTTATGAATTGAAGAATTAGTTAGACATACATGATTGGCATGTAGTGTATTATTAATAAGAGCCTACCAAATTAAAAAATCACTTTTAATATTGTTTGGAGTTCACATTTTTTTATGTATATATCATAGATGATATATGTATTTATGTATAGCAAAGACACTCATAAAAGTACAAATAATTATTAAATAAATACTTCCATGATAAGAATATAAATCAATAATCATATACTTTAAGTATATAAACAAATAAAATGAAATGAACTATAACATTATTGTTTCAAAGAATATAATAATTGGTTAGAAAACTAACAAAGCTTTGATCATTCAACAAAACGTGCACAATTAATCAATATTTTTTATTATAAAAATACAAAAATATGTTAGAGCATTTTTAATTAAAAAAATAAATTTATATTTTTCAAGGAAAAATCATAAAATATATTGATAATATAGTTTCTAAATTTCACAAATAAAATTAACAGTGTGATATATACCCTTTAGCCTTTAGAGTATATTAAAAAAAAACTAATTGAAAAAAAATAAGTGATGCGTTAATTACTTAACTCACTTGTGAAGATAAAAAAACTTAAATAAAAATATATCAAATAATTTTTTTCTTCAAGATTAATGTTTCTTAGCAATATTGACTCTGGTTCCATAAAAATATCTTAAGTACTAAATATTTGAAATTAAATATAAAAAAATGATAAACCGAATTAATTTGGATGTAGTATAGAATCAATCTATAGAAGATAAAATAAAAATTAAGTTTAGTAACAATTCAATGGTATATAAGATTATGTTTATAAAGTAAAGATTCATTTAGGCATTATAATGTTAAAACATGATTACAATCATTAAACATATAAATGCATATTTATCATAAAAATAAAATATTCAAACATACAAACTTACCATAATATGTGTATTACTCTTTTTGAATTTTTTTTTTGATAATTTAACTTGTAATTTTGTATGAACTTTAATTTCAATTAATCTAAATTAAATAAATAAAAATGTAAATATAAATATATTTAAAGACTTATGATATGTACCGTTAAAGAAGATAAAGAGTAAATTAAACTGTATCTTGAAAACGAAAAATTATATGCTTTACTTAAGACAAAGTTAAATGTTTTTAGGGCATACACATTATGATCTAATAATTTAGATCGAAACAATTAGTAATTAAGAAACAAGAAAAAGATTTTGTGTATATTTTGTTCAATATCACGGATAGTATGCCACCACCCTTTGGATGAGAATGTGTTTTATATGAATTTGATTGAATTAGTACTTCTAAAATTTAACAAAAAAAATTTTTTAAAGATAAAGATAAGAGTAAATTTGAGTTAATTTTGGACAATAGATTCACTATATTGCACAAATAAAATTTTAACATAGTTTAATTTGATATAAATTTTATTTGTAAATTTTTAATTGATTTAAATAAATAAAAGCTATATATTTAATGACAAATAATTTTTATTAAATATATAAATAATGCTAGAAATTGAAATATAAATTTATTATTTTTTAAAATTTATAAGGGTATTTATGTTATTAATTTTTAACTTTTTTAGATTTAAATTTAAATAACTAACTAATAAAAATTATATATTTAATGACAAATAGTTTGTATTTAATAAATAAAAAATACTAAAAATTAAAAAAAATTTATAAGATATTTATGTCATTCTTTAAAATTTACCTTTATATATAGATAGATAAATAGATGATATACATTCATAACTTTGATTGTTTATGAAGAATTCAAGTCCCAAGGAAAGAGCTTGTAGTGGAGTCAAAAAAGTTTTTCTTTGCCAAACCCACTGCAAGTAATTATTGGATAATTCGTCAAATCTACAATTTATAAACCAAAAAAATGCTTTTTAACCCATTTTTTTTAACTTACATCCAATTGCTTTGAATAGGAACAGGAAAAGGTGATATCCTTGAAGTTTTAGTCCATTCACATTATTAACCATTCTTAATAGTTAGACCAGTTTTCCAATTAAAAATGTTGAATAGAAAATTTTCATTTAGTAAGACTTGATGTGTTAATGGGTTTGGTCGAATCAGATCAGATCCAATTGAAGTTTCCCAAGACTCATCTCGTTTAATTAGACTTGTTTATATTAGAAATATTATTAAAATATTAATATTTTAAATATATTTTAAAATTAAAATTAAATAAAAATATTTTATTAATAAAATAATATATCATATCGGATTAGGATTTGAGACTATGGTTTCCTTTTTACTAAAAAATATTATATCTTAAATTTGACCTAAGTTAGGTTAAATTTGTGGACAATTCGACTATGAACAAATCTAGTAAAAAAATTATGATAAAATTAAATTTACACTACTATTTCTTATGAGAAAAATAGTTAATCAATACAAAATGGAATGTTTTCCTTTTGTTTTTTTTAATGTTTTGATATGGCAACTGGGAGAATACCACCGCCTAGATTGGCAACTCCAGAGATTCAGCCATAGCATTTTATATTAGATAAGGCCGAAGGCTTGGTGGCCTAATTAAATGGGACCAACTTTTTGTGGGCCATATGCTAAAAATACCAAAATCATGAGCCGACTTGTAAATTCCAAACTTTATTTTAAATCTCAACGACTACTATTGGCCCCCAAAATTTGACCGTTGGAATTCCTCCTTCCTTCCATGTCAAGTTGTCAACCGCCCACCCCCCCCCCCCCCCCAAAAAAAAAAAAAAACTATCTTTCCATTTTATTTACATGTATAAATTTACACCACAATTTATTCAAAGCCTTCAAGTCAGTACATCTCTTCCTTCAAATCCACTGAAATTGGGCAAATATTTTCCATTTCAATGGAGCAAGTGATGGAAAAGCCTTTTGACAGTCTAATTCAATCTGAAAATGGTGGAATGGAGAACAAAATACCACCCCAGAATCTGGAAATTGATCAGAATTCTCAAGATTCCGGCAACGATTTGAGAAAAAAATGTACCCCAGATAGGCTTAAAGTCCCCAAGGCATTCAAGTCCCCTGAAAGGTAAGTAACTCTACATGTTTCAATCTTGTTTTTAAGCAAATCTGTTTCATGAATTTTTATATGTAATTTTGTTTTTTCTGGTTTGGTTCAGGTATAGAAGTCCAACTGATTCTATGATGTCACCTGTTACAAAAGGTCTTCTTGCAAGAAACAGGAAAGGTGGAGGTTCACTCTTGCCACCTAGTCTAAATCAAACCAAGGTAAATTTCAAAGCTTATCGAAGACTGTAATCTGTTTCTAAACAATACCCTTTTCTTAGAGAATTGTTGGCTTGGGAATTCTGACTCTGGGTTTAGGGTGTAATTGAACAAATTGAGTTAATATATTAGGAGTGTAATCGAGAAACTTGAGACTCAAAACTTGATTATAACTCGATTAAATTTCATTTTTTATACTCGAATTTGACTCATAATTTAATTGAATAGTTCAAGTTTGACTCGATAGGTTCGGTAAAATTATAAATATTGATATTAAATATTATCTTTTGACATTTACATATATTAAAAAATAAAAATTTGATTAAATTCAATTTGGCTTTATAAGTCTTTTGAGTAGGATATTAAATTACTCAAATTCTTCAATTAATTAATCAAGTAACATGAGTTCAAACCCGACTCAATAATAAATAAATCAAGTTCAAATTTTTTTGAGTCAAACCCGAATAAATTATAAGTAGCTTGACTTCTTTATGCCTTTAGTGAGAACTTAGCACTATAATACTTAAGCAGCAATGATCATCTCTAAGTTTAGGATTCGATCTATGAAATTGATATGCATGTCAGTAGTTTCGTTTTTTGTTTTTTTTCTCTTTCAAGTTATTTACTTTGTTTGTCAATGTTCCAGATTCATGAATTGCGTGTTCAAGATGGTGGTCTTTCTCAGAATTGAAGAACCGATATGATACATGGTGGTGGAAGAAAGCAAAAATCAGATAGATTCTTGAACCTGATGAATTTGTCTGAAATGGTGTTAATGTCAATATATATAGATCACAGGAAAAGAAAAAAAAAATTACCATGGGATGTTTCTCTTGAACCTATTTCTTTTTCCATTTGATCCAGTGAAATGGGTTTCTTGCAATTTTTATCAAATTTTGGACTGTAAATTTTGTTCTGATAATAAAAAATTTTGCTTAATAATGGTCAAATGCCTCACAAGATATATATGATCATTGTTGAAATTAGAATTGACAATTTTAACATAAAATACACAACTCGAAAATGATTATAAAAAGACACATGTATGACATAATTTAAAATTTTTTATATAAATTTAGTAAAAAAAAAAATAAGATTCATTATTATGTTAATACGATTGTTATACAACAATTTTTATATTTTACACATATTTGATATAAAATAAATATAAATTTATATTATGCTTACTGCTCGACTGTTAATTGGTTGATTTATTGGAGTGGGTAGGGAGTCATTTTAGAATTTTAGACATTCAGACCTGGTAGATATGCATTTAATTGACAGCAACGCTTGTTTCTTGTGCCTAATAATTCTTTCTGCTGAAAAAATAGCATTTCCAAGATGCCATGTATTATGCTTCCATTCTACTGTGGCAAAATAACATTACTGTCGTGAACATAATTGCTAAATGGTCAAGACTTAAGACTGATCTTCTCACTCTAGTCGAACTTCATACCATTGAATTGCACCAACATCCCCATCTATTTCAAGTTCACAAACAGACCTTACTAAGTAAGAAACAGCATCGTCGATGCTCACAAATCTTGCCAGGTCCGGTGGAAGGGTCTTCCCTGGCCAATTTTCAAGCCAGCCCTTTAACTTGGCCTTCAACTCTTCTTCAGAGACAAACTTCTCCTCTTGTCCAGGTTGTAGTAGAACATAGGTTTCGGTCCTTGAATATGCTGCCCCTCTCCTCCTCGTTGCACAAATCTGATGAAAAATAAACCGAGAAAAATTACACGAGGACCCCGAAGAAAAAAAAAAAAGAAGCTATGTTTCAAAAGTTTGGGATGCTTCCTCTTCATCCACCTCCAGTAACCCCCCCCTCAAATCCCTCTTGACATCGGTTCAAAAAATGCCCATTCTCCTAAAAGATTATTCTTATATAAATGAAAAAGCAGAGTTAGCTTAAAAGGCCCCAGCTCAGAGACAAGATATCAGATTACACGTAAATTATCACCAGCCACAGCTTAGCGGGAATTAACACCATTTACAATTGTTAAATAGTGTTGCAGAGCAGGATTTATATTAGTCAAGATCATGTAAGGATGATATTTTCCAAATCATCTCAGGTCATGTGGAATGATTTTAATCTTCACAGTTTCACTTGTGTTACAAGTGGGTAAGTCTCAGAACTGCCTAATAAAGCAGATACTACAGAAGACTTATAATGATAGCCTTACAATGGAAAATGAGCGCTTGAAAGAAATGTTTACCGTCACAGCATTGCTATGCGGACTCCCCATTTTAAGAAGTCTCACATGAACAGGACTAAAATTCTCAGCTCCACATACGGGACTTGCTTGAACAAATGCTGTAAGAGTGTATCTTGATAAGAAATCACCTGCAAACAGTTGGAAGCTATGATATCATTAGTGAGATATAGTCCTATCTCTCTTACAACAGTCATACTCTTTGGCCTCTGATTATCAATTTGAACAGTGATGCTGTTCTGTAAAAAATTTAAAGTTCATTTAGACAATTTTCAAGTCAGATTTCTTCTCCTCAATTCCATAATTAAATTCCAGGCTTAGTGCAAAATAATTAATAGACAAAAATATTTCATTGTTCACAGATCAGTGTAAGACCATTTCAGTTCCACAGACAGCAAACTTACTAGTCCCCACCGCCCATATTTTTTTTTCTTTGTTATATGTAGAGTCCAAATACATTGAAAAAGTTGATGCTGCAATAACAGAACAATAGTTTACTCAAGTTGTAGCTAATTTGTTGTTAATGATGAGCTCAAACCCCAATTTACTGCTTACATGTCGACACTAAAATACCTGTGAATGAATCACATCACAGCTGTTCAATCAATGCCATATCATTAAATGCTTCAAAGCAATTTTATTATTAAATGAAGGCATGGCCATCTGGACATCTTAGGTATTCCTGAAGCCACTAAACCACTGCTTCAAAATGCGAGAATCTGATGCTCTAAGATGGTTTCATGCTACTTCTGAGCCTTCAACCCAAGATAATGGCAAATAGTGTGGCAAGAACTCAATACCGAAGGGATACAAAGACTTCCGGTAGCAGAAGATAGTAAACTGGCAAACAGATCTTCGAGATGATCCCAGCCGAAGTTTCGTAGAGCTACAGATTCTCTATGAGGCATCCCAAGGTAAAATTTGGGATTTCCATAAAAGGAAGCAGGTATCGAGGATGCAATGGGTAGTTGGAGAGAGGCTAGCGGCATCACCTCTAAGCATGGGTAATTGGGCATCTACTTACTAACGAAGTTAAGACACATCTTCATCTTCATCAGGAAACAAAGTACCATCTCTGAGGGGTACATACCCAACACCCTTCATATGATCTACTAGTATGAGAATCACTTCACTTATCCTTTCTACAATCACTTCACTTATCTTTTCTATCTGAGAATGGCGCCCATCTTTCGCCACAAACTCATGACATACATTCCTCACCTCAATCCAACAATAAGCAGCTTTTTCTTAGACCTCTCTCCTCCATGAGCCTTCTCGCTGCTTGGGGATCATCCCATCTTCTAGCTGCAAGATAGACATTTGATAACATTACATATCTGGCAGCATTCTTTGGTTCCAATTCAAACAGAGCCTCTGCTGCCCTCTTAACAACACCTAAGTTGCCCTCGACACAACAAGCACCCAAAAGCACACCCCACATGCCAACATAATTCAGTCCATTGGGAGTTATCTTAATCAATTTCATCACCTCCTCAAGCCTGTTTTTCCTTCAAAGCAAATCAATCAAGATTGCATAATGATCAGACCTAGCGATCACACCAAAATCCATTTCCATCAAGTCTAAAATCTTCATTCCTTCAGAGACTAGACCTGTGTGAGTACAAGCAGATAATGGCCTGAGAAACTTGACATGATTAGGCCTTGTGTCTGCTTTTATCGTCATTCTGAATGCACTAAGTGATTCATCTCGATGCTCATTTTGAGCAAACCCAGTTATTAATGAGTTCCATGAAACAACATCATTCTCATGTATCTTCTCAAACAATAATTTTGCTGAGTTCATGTCTCCACACTTGCAGAATGTGTCAATTAAAGCATCATAAACAAACTGATTCAATAAATCACATCTACTGCCAACTCTAACTGTGTGTTCATAGATCTATTTACCTTTTCCAATATGTGCTAAATCTGCACAAACACTTACAACAGAAACAAATGCGAAAGCAGTAGGCTGCATGCTTTCCTCCAACATCTTCCGTAAAAGATTCAATGCTTCATTTCCATGACTATTTTGTGCAAAACCCGAGATTAAACCAGTCCAAGACGCCATATTCTTAACAGGTTTCATTATATACATAACAAGCATCCTCAAATCTAGACACTTTAGCATAAGCAACCTCCATAGAAGCCCATGAAACAACGTCTCTTCCGCTCATCTGATTAAAAATCCTATACGCACTATTCACCTCCCCATAATTTCCCATAAGCATCATGAAAGCATTGTATACAATCAAATCCAACTCCAAACCAGAAAATATCATAAAGCCATGAACTTGACATAAAAAATTTCAAAGCACCTAAGCAAGCACAAGCACCAACTATGCTAACAACCATACAGCAGTCAATAACCAAATGATCAGATTCATTTAGCATTTTTTTTAACATATTTACTGATTCTTTGTAAAACCCATGTTGGAAAAACCCATAAATCAATGAATCATAACTAACAAGATTTCTCCTTGGCATTTGATCATACACGTTACATGCCTATTAAAGAAAACATGTTTTGAATACCCGAAATAAAAATGTTCCAAGAATGGTTGTTTTTCACATGAAGTTCATCAAAGGCCTTTTGGGCACTTTTTTATTTAATTGAAATTTGAATGCATGGCTATGTGATGGTTGGTTATAAAGGGTTTAAAGGTTACAGCTTTTTGATAAAATGTGCATGTAAAAGTAAGCCTAGCTTCAAGTTTTTGTTTGTAATAGATTTTGAGATCAGAAATACAAAAAATAATAAAAACCCAAATCTTCTTTCAATTTTTTCTTCTTTTGGGATTTCTTCTTGTTGCTGAAATACATGATAATATTGGAAAGTACATTTATAGCTTAAAGAGTAGTTTTTTTTTTAAAGAGCTTAAAGGCCAAAGCTTACAGTTAAAGAGCTGATGAAACCCATTGTTGAACAGCTTTTTCTCGATTGAAAAATTATTGCATGCAAAACTTAGCATGTTTTCCTTGTGTTTGTAAAATAAGCGAAAATGGCGAGGAAAAAAATTATGTGCTTTTTTTTAACACAGGTTTTGGAGACAACATGATAAAATTGTATGGAACTTTGTTAATTTATATCTGTGACCCTCAGTTTCTGGTATATGCCCTTGATTTCCCACTTTTCTTTTTTGTATTTTAATTAAGTTTTACTATCACAATTCATGTATCTATCGTGTCAAAAACATGTCATGAAAATTATTGTATTATACTACATGTCCACATATAAAACATGAATTTTTTTTTTGTCAAAATTTTATATTATGATATTTTCATATATTTTTTATATTATTTACCTATCATAATATTATATTATGTTTAAAATTATCTCAAAAACATGTCATTAAAATTATTGTATTATAATACGTGTGCACATATAAAACATGAAAATTTTTTTTTATTTTTGTCAAAATTTTAAATTATGATATTTTCATATATTTTTTATATTATTTACCTGTCATAATATTATATTGTGTTTAAAATTATCATAGAAGAAGTTAAGATATCTTGACATGCTACTTTAAAAAATATTTTTTAATTAAAATATTATTTTTATCAAATTTAATAATTATAGAAATTTTTATTAAATAATAATATAATTTATTTGATAATCTATAATATAACATAGTAATACGATATGAATATAATACGAAAAAAAGATAAAAAATAACATAATTTAAAACTTTTAATAATAATTATATATAAATTTAATACAACAAAAAATATATTTTATTTTTTCATATTCCATATGAATTATAATACTTGATTTTCATATAAAACACATATGAATACATTAATTTGATTATTTTATACAATACATATACAAGAATAGTTGGATTTAAATTTATTTGTTAATTTTTTTTAATTTTTACAAGGTAATTAATCATGAAAATAATATAATTTTGAAGGGATATCTAATGCTTAATTTTGGTAATGTATGGTTTGCTTTAGGAGTGCCACGTGGCATATTTTTCTTTCTTTTGTTATTTTACTTTTTACTTTTTTTAATTTTTTATAATTAATTAATATTTTTGAAAATAATTAAAAAATAAATATTTTTAAAGATATTTTCCTATCCATTTACATCAAACTTTTCTTTTTATTTTTTTTACCTTCCATTTTCCATTTTTAAATATTTAATAAATATTTTTGGGATTTTAAATTTGTTATACAGAAGCCATAGGATATAAAAATATGTTTATTTTTTATATCACACTCTTGCTTCCCTTTTTTTATTTTTTATTTTTTAGTATTTAATTAATTTTATTGTAAATTATCAAAAGTAAATAAATATTTCTTAATTTTTTTCTGTGAGCGGGACTACTTATAACAAACTTTTCTTTTTATATTTTATATTTTTTACCCTTCATTTACTTTTCTTTTTAAAAATATTTAATAAATATTTTTTTAGAATTTAAAATTATTTTGTGTGGGAGCCATTTGATACCAAAATTTGACACGTATTTTTTTACTTTTTTTAATTTTTATATATTTAATAAATAATATTTTAATTTTAATTTTTTATACCCACTTAATAATAAGATTATGTCACATGTCAAATAATTTGATTGATTTGATCACTTTTTCTCATTTCTATTTATTTTTTCTTTTTTATATTTAATAAATATTTAATATTTTTAATTTTTTTAAATATCGAGTTCATTTGATATTATTATTAAAAAGATATATTTTTCATTATTATTTTCTTTATTTAATAATTTTAAAAAAACTATTACCGAAGATATTGGCATCATATTTGGATTGATCTTTTCTTGATCTATATTTTTTAAGATCAATGATATAAATTTCTCATGAAAAGATCGCCATTGCTGATGTTGCATGGTTATTCACCTTTTTTATTTGTTTTTCTTGTTATCTTTTATTTTTTGCTTTCTTTTTAAAATTAAAATTTTTTTCTAAAAAAAATGTGTACACATGGCATCCTTTATCTTTTATCTTTTCTTTTTTTTTTTTTTGCATTTTTCCTTTTTCATTTAATTTTTTATTTTAATTTCTATCTTTCTATTTTTTTCCTTTAATTTTATACGTATTTATTAATTATTTCTTTTTTCAAAAGAAATAGTATAGGATCCTTTTAATATTTTCTATTAAAATTTTTTAAATTTTTACAATTTTTTGAAAATTTTTTAATTAATTATCATTTTAACATTATAAATGACCTTTCATGTATCTCTAATCCAATAAGAGCAATTTTATTTAAATAGAGATTGAATCAAGAGAGAGATAATTATATATATATTCATCGGTAATTGTTGAAAGTTTTGTATTAAGTGAATCCCACATAAAAAAATAAATTTATTTTTTATGAAATATATTTTGTGAGAATAAAAGATCAATTGATGTATCCACTATCACTTCCATTTGAGATTTTTTTGGTACCTTTCAAATTTTTTGCTTTTTTGAAATAAGATAAATTTTTAACAAAAAAAAATCGATAAATAAAATGATAAAACAAAAAAAATTTGATTTGCAACAACATGTGCCCCAACTAGTTAGATTTATTTTTGTAAGAAAAAAGATAAATTACTAGACAATACCGAATTACCAACTTTTTTATCCTTTTTTTTTTTTGTTTTGATAAATAACTTTTTGCTTATCCTATTTGATTAGTGAGATCTTGAAAGAAAAGGAAATTTTAAAGACAAAAAGAAAAATAAGTCTTATATTTTTCTTATCAACCAAGCAGAACTTAACAACCAATGTAACAAAAACAAGAGGATGTGCCCATTGAACCAAATATTGTTTTAACATGTTACTAAGTTAATAAATGTCGTTTCATCAGTTGAAGAAAATGGCTCTAACAACTCTCCAAAAAAACTAAAAAGTCAGTTACTTTGATTAAACCAAAGATAAAGTGCACATCCAACTCTTTTTATCTTTGTAAAACCCCCCACCAACTCTGACACAGATCTTTTGTTTTAGCTGCAGCTTCAATCTTTGAATTCTCAGAAAAAAAAAAAAGTTGACAGATTGAAGATACCAAGAAATTTCTCAAGGTTTCAAGTGAGTTTTGATTCCTTTAATTTCATGTCTTATGAAGGATTTAAGTTCTTTTCCATATTTGAATTGAGTAATTATTCATTTCTTGCAAAAAAAAAAAAAAACTGAAAATTTTTCTCATTTTCTTTTGTTCATTTGGTACCTCAGTTGAATAACAATTGTGATTCACAATATGGGGTCATTGAGAAGTTGGACTGGAGATAGAGTTGAAGCTGTGGATGATAAAGGAGGGGATGGAAGCAGAAAGCAATTGACAGATTTTGAAGTTAATAATAATGAAGTTAAACCTCTTTCAAGGCATGGAACTTTAGCCTTTTCTTCTTCATCAGATTCGTCTCAGGACCCTGAACTCAAATCACCAGCACATTTTCGTGTTTCATTTGCGGGTTCAACTGAGTTGTTCCCTGAAAATCACATGCCTTCAGGGCAAGTTGCTGGAGGCTATGTACCAAATCGAATACCATCATCTGTTTTTAGTAGTAAGCCTGCAACACCAATGGATTGGAGCACTGCTTCAAATGAATCATTATTCAGCATTCATATTGGAAATGGCAGCTTCTCAAGGGATCAATTTTTTATGTTACATAAATCTGGAGAATTGACCAAGTTAGATGAGCAGATCATTGCTCAAGGTCACCTGCTGCCTTCTCTGAAAGAATTAGAGGACATGGCTAGAAGGAATGAAAATATAGACAAGGATTCAGAAGCAACAGAAATGTCAAAAAATACAACAGCAAAGGTGGTTGAAACCAGTGAAGTTGCAGAAGATCGTAGCAACCAAAAGATGCCTCTGGCTGAAGAGGTCCACAATCCAATTAGCAATACCCCAACAGTGGATCTTGGTTCAGTTGCAGGAAATAATAGCCAGGAAAAGAAATTCCCAGCAGAGGTCCATAATTCACCTACCAATAGCATTTCTGGCCATTCTGATGGGTGCAAAAACGGCACTCTTTCCTTTGCCTTCCCTGTGTAAGTTGCAATGCGTTAAGAAAAAAAAAAAACCATATTTCAAGTTTCTAAAGCACCAACTGCGTACTTGAAAGCTGCATTTTGCTTAAACTCTAATAAAATATTTAATGTGATATTTAAATTATAAATTTATTAACTAATGTAATACTTGAAGAGCTGTTTGTCAAGCATGTGTCATCATTTAAAGCTAACGACACTACATTAGTTAACAGATTTATGTTCATATATCAAAGATTTTTAAAATTCAGGTACTACATTAAACATTTTATTATAGTTTAGAAGTCATTCTTGATGTTAACCCTTTAAAACATATTTCATTGTACCAAATTTATTTTCGCTACTTTAAAATGATTTCCAATGATAGAGACGTTTGCTTTATCGAATATTTAGCCACCAGAAGCATTACTCTTAACTTGTTTTGGTTCATTTCAGGTTGACAGGTACTAGTGATGCTGGAACATTTAGCCATGTGAATGGTGACCAAAACAACAAAGGATTACAGGCACAGTCAGTAAAGCAGCAGAAGCAGCAGCAGGAGGAGGAACAGGATCAGAAGCAATCTACAGAGGAATTACAACCACAAATTCCTGTTACACCCCAAAATGCTTATAGGCGCAGTTGGTTTTCCTGCTTCTATTGCTGCCGCTGTTCATGATATCAATCATGTATTGTCTATCAATGGTTATATTACTTCCCTTCCTGAAAAGAATCTGCTTATCCCCTCTTTCAGAAGTGGACATTCTATCCTTCCAAACATGCTAAAATATTTCCAGGAGGCACAAATCCATTGAGTCTAGTTAAGGTTGGTCTAATTTGTACGGTTTCTTGATGTAAGATTACAACTGTATAAAGTTGCTTTTGCAATGTTGAATAAACATAAAATGTGTTGAGACAGAAGACAAAGACGGAAAAGAGCAAAAGAAAATCACGATAAGATGACATAATGATAAGAAAAAAGGCACAATGGTGATACATTTTAAAATTTTAACAGAAAGTATATATGAATTTATTAAAAATAAAATTTTTTTTTTATATTTTTGACATTGATACAAATTATAACATATAATTTTTATGTAAAACATAATACGAATACATAAATTATCAGTATTTTATATTATCTTAAATTTGATCCAAAAAAGAAAAAAAATGATCAATGAATCATGTACAGAGATTTATCTGATATTAATCATTCAAGGGTCCAAATTGGGTCAATCTAAAGACCGATTTTTCGTTTCATTTCTGATACGCTGAAGCAGTTTAATTTCTAATTTCAGAATCCATTACTTTCTCTTTATTTATACAGTATAACGTCACTTTTGTTTCAGCAAATATGCTCTCAAAAAAAAAAAAAAACATGTACCTATCTGTAACATAACTCCATTAAAATATGTTATGGTCTTTTACCATATGTCAATATCCATTAAAATTGTAGATTAAACTTGTTAACTACTTAATTGCTGTAGGTTTAATACTAAAAATCCTTTGTGCCAGCTAAAGAAATGGCTAAAAAAAGCACTTATCGGATGCCGATGAAATTAATGGTTTTTTTAATAACGCAATAAGATGGGCCTATTCTTTGAAATATTATTATATGAAACCGCTACTTCACATCTATATAAGTTTTTCATTCAAATCATGTCACGTAATTATATTCTTTTAAAAAGTTAATCATTTATTTAATTTATATGACATGTGATAATTTAATGGTAAATATTTATTTAATGTCAACTCTTAATAATATTGGCATAAATGAACTAAATTAAGTTTTAAATTTTTATTTTTATTTTTAATAAATCTAAACTAACTCTTTATTTGGATAGTTAAAATTAATAAAAGAAATAAATCATAATAACCATTGTTTAAATAAAGAATGAAAAAAAAATCATTATAATATTTTTTAATTATAACTTTTTTTTTTTTTATAAAATAACATATAATATAAAAATATATTTCTCGTATTTATATCTTTTATCCATTTTCCTTGGCACTCGTTTATATTCTTGATTACATTTTTTATTAGTCATAGGTTTATAAATGTGATGATTAGAATAGAAGGGCAGCATGGTAGATGCCACTTCACTTGATGCCATCAACAACAATAATAGTACCACAATTTATTTTTTTTTAAAGCTATTAAATAAAAAAGTGATAACATAAATTTATTAAAAAGCACCATCATTTATTAAACGCTCTTTTTGCTCCAGGCAAAAAGTAATAATATATTACTTTATAATTGTCTAACATAAATTTATTTTATCAAAATAAAAAATAAATATTTCCATCCTAAGAAAAAAAATTATTTCAACGAATTAAAAAGCTTATGTAGCAAAGATACTTTTGAATATTTTTAATGACTAGATGAACCAAACACCAACCTTTTAACGACCTCCTTTCTTTTATGCCATGGCATCAAGTACTGCTCTTACTTTTTCAATTAACAATAAAATATAGGTAAGCAGTGGTGATTCGTTATGAGTCAATTTCTATCTCCTTCAATGGATTTCATATTTCATTTTCTTAATACGATCAACATGAGTGTTAAGCTTTTTATAAATAGCATTTCTTGTAGTAAATGTATTAGCAACCATTTCAAACCACTCTCAAATAAGTTCACTATCTTTGTCATCTTTTGATTTTTAGCTTTTTTATTAATTGAACTACTCAAAAGATCCAATGAATTTTTAGAACGAACTCTAGGGGATGTCATGAGATCAATGTACTCTTCACTCAAAATATCATGATTCTCCAATGTTACCTTGTTCTAGAAAATTAAATTATCAATAACATCAATATTTGCTCTTAACTTACATCAGTTCCAAAAGATTACTTCCTTTATCTCATTTTTGCTGCAGTCTCAGCATGTTCCATAATGGCTTGATCATTATCATAAAGAATCACCACTTTTTCATAATTTGAAATGGATTTAGTCATTCACTCTTAGGCATAAGGATGTGCCTAAAAATTTATATGTATTATATTGTGAGAATATAAATAATAAAATGTAAAATAATTAATAAAAAAATAATTAAAATTTAATTTTAATAAAATTTACCTCAATCAATCTCTACCAAACTTCAGGTTCTACACCCCATAATTTAGTAACTAAATTCCAATAAAATCCATTCATTCCTTGCTTGAACAAATCATAACACTTTAAGAAATTACTTTTAATTGTCTTTCAACGATTTTTCACTTTTTCCTTCTTTGTGTCTCTCCTAAAATTTTCTTTTAACTCAATAACGATATTATCATAGGCATGTTTAGTAAAAGTTCCATTCACCTTATTCCCTATATTATGTTGATTAAAAAATGCATCGACAAAAGCATCATCCATCAATGGTGTCCATGTCAAAGCATTATCCTTATTTGTCCCTTTGTCACTTTCATTACTTGTAATCACTTTTTTCTTTCTCAGCATAGTTAAATCTACATAATAAAAAAAATAAATATGCAAAAGTTATAATAAAATTAAATATAATCATTGATAAATAAGTACTTTAATTGTTCAAATGAAATACATTTATTTGATTAAAGAAATACATTTCATTCAATGACAATAAATCAAATATAAATTCAAGAAAATACACAAATAATAATAACCATTTAATTCCTATAATCTATCCACATAGCATTAGCTATAGAATCTTTAATTGTTTTCTTTGAGCAACATTTTCATTCTCATTTCGAGGAGCATGATATTTAGTGAATCTAATATTTAGTTCACAATTAATCTTATCAATAAGAGCATCATCGAGATCTACTATTATTAAGTAATTATGTAAAATACAATAAGCTAAAACTATTACTTTTTGGGTTTTAACTCCATATGTCGGTGTATTTGTGCTTGCTATTATAAAAACTCTTTTTTTAGGACACCAAATGCTTTTCAAATACATTTCACAAAGATTCATGCCTAAGATTAAATAATTCCTAAGAATTTTTTAATGGTTATTTGAATATTCTTTCAAATGATACTATACTCTTCTATATGGTGCTATTAATCTACTTCTCAACATAAATTCATCATCAACAAGATAATATTTACCTATTCAAAATTGTAATCATATCACTATTTCGATCTTATAAGTAACTAAATTAAATATAATATGTTATATTCATTACCTTATGGAATCATAAGTTTATTTTTTCTTGATAATGCGTCTTTCATAATTCTTAAGTTAGACTCTATAACTACATATCCAGGTAATACATAAGTGAATTTTAAATTAAATGGACATTCTGTAAATACATTTTATGTTAGGTACTCTTTTTTACCATGATATTTTGGAGCATCTATATTTCGTATCTTGACTCTAATATGTGTTCCATCAATAACTCCTACACAATCCTGATATTGACTTTATATATTAATACTTATTGAATATAAAACAAACTTGTGATTAAATTAAAGTAACTAATAATTTCTTACCTTAAAATATGGGTAGAATCTATTATTTTTAAGTATCTCAACTGAATTATGTGAGCCATTTGATTGTTTAAGGAATCTCTCCTCTAACACAATTATAACTCTTAAAACACGATGTAAATGGGGACTAGTTATTTTTCTTAAATGTTTAAACTAAAATTGTATCTTTTCTATTTTTTGCCTGATGAGATAATATATAAAGAGTTTTAATAACTTGTTCTTCCATTGTAACTCATCTTGTTGGTTCTAGACCACCATATTTTTTTAGTATTACACATAAATTTAGAAAACCTTTAGGTCCCATTATTATAATATCTCTATCTTTCTCACTACTAACAATTTGACTCATTATTTCATTTCTAACCTGATCTCTTTTTAGATTTATACAATTATCAATAACTTTTTTTCGTGATAATTTTTTACATATATACCAATAAATAGCTAAACACATAATGTAGACAATTGCCCTTCGATGACTTTTTCTCCACAAATACTCAATCATTATCTCATTTCTTTGTTTATCCATCTATACAACAAAATATTAACAATAATTATTATTATCATAAAAATAAATACACTAACATTTGTATGAAAAAAATAATATTAAAAGCTCTCAGTTTACAGCTAATACAATTGAATATGGTATGGAGATTCTTGTTTTAAGCACATGAGGCATTTAACAATAAATCATACATATTACTAATAATAATACTAATATTTATCAATTACTCACATATTTTAATTATTATAATACTAATTTTTACCAATTATACAAGAAAACGTACTGATAGGTATAAGATAGCAAGGGGAAGGGATATGGAAAATGCAATATATCTTATTGGAAACTAGTATCTTTACATCTTTATTCATGAAATCCATACCATATATAACTAAAGTGATTTTGTAGACAAATTCATGACGAAAAATGTTGTAGTAATTATGCCTACTTAATCATCATTAGAAGTAATAAATTAGAATGTAAAATAAAACAAATAATTTAGTGTAAAGTCATCTTTAGAAGAAATAAATTAGAATGTAAAATAAAAAGAATAATTTAGTCTAAGTCAAAACAATATTTTTTGACTAAAAAACATGTATATTTTTTAACCATCTTCTTGTTGACTAATCGAACTCAAACTATAATATCCTATGTATAAAAACCAAAATTTGTGAAGTAGACTAACATCTTATAAACCCAAGAAATATGTCTAGTCATATTCAACTATTCA